ATTTTTCAATTTTCCGAAATTTTCAATTTTCGATTTTTCGAATTTTTCTTTTTAAATTTTTGGATTTTTCCATTTTTTGATTTGTCGATTTATCGAATTCAGATGTTTCGATATTTTAATTGTTCAATTTCTCGATTTATCAATTTTTCAATTTTTAACTTTTCTTCTCAGCTTTCGACTTTGATCTTCTGATTTCTCGATGTCTCAGTTTTTTAATTTTTCGATTTTCCGATTTTTGGGACTCCTGGATTTTTTGATTTCGCGATATTTTACTTTTTGGATTTTCAGTTTTTCGTTAAACTTTACCTACATTTTTCAATTTTTCGACTGTTTTATACCTCTATTCCTCAATTTATCAATTTTCCGAAATTTTCAATTTTCGATTTTTCCAATTTTTCTATTTTAAATCTTTTGATTTTTCAATTTTTTTATTTGTATCGAATTCAAATGTTTCGATGTTTTGATTGTTCAATTTCTCGATTTAACTATTTTTCAATTTTTAACTTTTCTTCTCAGCTTTCGCCTCCTCAATCTTTTGATCTTCTGATTTTTCGATTTCTCGATGTCTCAGTTTTTGAATTTTTAAATATTCCGTTTTCCGGATTTTTCGGTTTTTCGATTTTTTATTTTTGGGGCTTTTCAATTTTTCGATTTTTTAAATTCTGTAGTTACGATTTTTAAGTTTTAGATTTTCGAATATTTATCTTTTGATTTGGGTCCATTTTTCAATTATGCGATATTTTAATTGTTCAATGTTGTGAATTTTAGATTTTCCGATTTTTTAATTTTTCAGTTTTTCAAATTTCTATTTTTCAAATTTTGACGTTGCTAAATATTCAGTTTTCCGATTTTTCAATTAATCTCCTTATTTCTGATTTTCTCATATATCGACTTCTCGAAGTTTCGATTTTTCATTTCTTCAATTTTTCAATTTTTCGACTTTGCTATTTTGGTTTTTCGATTTCCCAAATTTCCAATTTTTTAATTTCTCGATTTTTCGATTTTTTATTTTCTTGATTTTCAGTTTTCCGTTTTTTAAACTTTAGATTTTTCAATTTTTCAACCGTTTTATGTTTAGATTTCTCAAATTTTCAAATTTTCGATATTTTTCATTTTTCAAAATTCTAAATTTTTCAATTTCTCGAGTTTTCAGTTCTTTTCAATTTTCCGAATTTTTAAATTTTCGATTTTGGCATTTTTCGATTTCTCAATTTTACGATTTTTCGACTTTTCGACTCCTCGATTCTTCGATTTTTGGTTTTTCGATTTCCCGATATCTCTGTTTTTGAATTTTTCGATGTTTCGATTTTTCGATTTGTTGCTTTTTCGATTTTTTACTTTTCGGCTGTTCAATTTTTCGATCTTTCGATTTTTGAATTATCCAATTTTTCGATTTTCCAATTTTTTAAATTTTCGAGTTTCGATTTACCGGGATTCTTCAATTTTTCGAGAATTTATTTTTTATTCAATTTCTGCATTTCGTGTTTTTTGTTTTTTCAATTTTTGGATTTCTTAAATTTTACATTTTTCGATTTTTTGACAATTCGATATTCCGATTTTTAAGTTTTTTTAAATTGCAATCTTTCAATTTCTCGATTTTTCGATATTTCAGTTTCGTGATTTTTCAATTTTGTGACTTTTCAATTTTTCGATTCATCGTTTTTTGATTTTCCAATTTCGCGATTTCTCGATGTTTGATTTGTTGACTACTCAATTTTTTGATTTTTCAGTTTTGCAGTTCCACAATTTTTCGATTTCTCAGGTTACAGATTTTTCAATTTTTAGATTTTTTAAATTTCAGATTTTTACATTTAAAATTTTTCGGTATTTTGATGTTTCGATTTTTCGAGTGTTCAACCTTTCGATTTTTTGTCTTCTCGGCTTTGGATTTGCCAATTTTTTGGTTTTGAAAGTCTTTGATTTTCCGATTTTTCGGTTTTTCAATTTCCTGACTTTTCTGTTCCGTTTTTTTGAAATTTAGAATTTTTTGATTTCGGGGCATTTCAATTTCTCGACTCGATTTTTCGACTTCTCGATTTTCCAATTTTTCAATTCTCCCAAAATTTCAAGAAATAAACTTGCGGGTTTTTCAAATTCTTTATTCTCGTTTTTTTGATTTTTCAGTTTTTCGGTTTTTCAATTTTTCGATTTCTTAAATTTTATATTTTTCGATTTTTCAATATTCCGATTTTACAATTTTTTGATGTTTCAATTTCCTGATTTTTAAATATGTATTTCTATTTTTTGAATTTTCAATTTATGGACATCTCAGTTTTTCGATTTTTTAATTTTTTCGACTTCAATTTTTCAACTTCACGATTTCTCAAGTTTTTAACATTTCAATTTTGGGATTTTTTTAATTTTTGTTTTTTCCAATTTTTCGGCTTTTTAATTATTCCATTTTTTTTATTTTTGGTATTTCAATTTTTTTATTTCTAAAGTCTTCAATTTTCCGACTTTTTAGTTGTTAATTTTTCATTTTGTCAGTTTTTAGATGTTTCAATTTTTCGGTTTATCGAAATTTTGTTGAGTTTTAAATTTTAGATTTTCGAATTTTTATTTTTTGGTTTTTTGATTGATTTCTCCATTTTTTAGTTTTACGATATTTTAATTTTTCAACGTTTTAAATTTTAGATTTTTAAATTTTTAGATTTTTCAGTTCTTCAATAGACCTTCCAATTTCTCAAATTTTGACGTTTCTGAATTTTTAGTTTTCCTATTTCTCAATTAATCTATTTTTTGATTTTCCTATTTCTCGACTTCCCAAAGTTCTTCACTTTTTCGATTTCCCAATTTTTCTATATTTTAATTTCCCAATTTATGGATATTTCGTTCAATTTGTGATTTTTCAGTTTTTCGATTCTTCAATTTTTCTTCTGTTTCTCAATTTCTAGATATTTCAGTTTGGGATTTTTTAGTCGGTATTTCGACTTTTCGATTTTTCGAGTTCTGGATTTTTAGATTTCTCGACTTTTTACTTTTTAGATTCTCAATTTTTTGACTTCTCGAAGTTCTTTTCCAGACTATTTTTGAAATATGTAACTTTAAAACAAAAAAATTCGAAATTCTAAAAATCAGATTTTGGGATCAGATTGTCAAGATTTAGGTAGGTACTTATGTTGCAGAATGCTTTTATACATTTTCATTCAATATCTTTAAAAGTTCAGTATTTTAATATATATCTACCTATATTTTTTTTTAAATTTCGTTTATCTTTGAAAATTTCCTAGGGAGATTTTTTTTTATAGATTTTGTCGAATTTATTTTTAGCTTCTGTTTTTCCAAAATCACAACCATTTTTTCAGAATCGCTAATATAAAATGTGGCCATTTATAGATTAAAAAAAAATGACTTTTATCCTGAATATTTCCAAAAACTTGTTTTAAGACCATAAACGTGCTACTTTAACCCATAATTTTTTGTGCATTTTCATAGAGTGAGAATTAAAAAAAAAATTGTTGTTTCAAAAAGCCTTTTTGGTCAACTTTTGCCATCATATGAAATTTTTGACCCTATTTCAAATAACTTTGGAAATTACTTAAACAGTTTTATCCCTAGAATTCAATTCCCAGAAATCATTGTCAGAGTCATTTCTTCGAAAATTCCTGCCACTTTTACAGAATCACTAATATGAAAAATGCACTTCTTAGATTTTTTAATCAACTCGTCGAAATCTATTTCCCAGATTTTTTCTGGATTTTTAGGCAACTTTTCCAAAATCTCACTTTTTTTAGTACCACCACATAAGAATTTTTTATCTTTACTAGAGTGCCTTCAAAAATTAGCGAAATTTCAGAATCGTCAATTTAAATCAAATGTGACAAATTTTAGAATTAAAAGAAAAATACTTTTAAACCGAGTATTGCAAAAAAATGTTTCAAATACTCATATCAATTTTTTTACTTTTTCTCAATCACCTTAAAAAATTACCGAAACAAATTTTGTGTAAACTTCGACATCCGAATGTTATTTTCAGTTTCATTTTTTCGAAAATTCCTATAATTTCTAGTATTTATTAAAAAAAAACACTTTGAAAGCGAACGTTTTGAAAGTCACTTCTGCCTTCATTTCTTCGATAACTTAACCTGTTTTTCCAGAATCGTCCATTGAAAACTCGCAATTTTTAAAGATTTCGAAAAAGTCAAATTTTACACAGAATTTTCCGAAAATATTACTCCGTTACCATCAACACGCTATATTTTTTTTATTTTTTAAAAGTGAAATTTTTTCAAATTTCGACCAATTTTTAACATTTTCGAAACTTAACTAAATACATCTCATATGAAACTTTAATTCTACGATAGTAAAAAGGTTGAAAATATTTATAGCTCTTTCGTTTTGTTCGGTCATATCGCAAAACAAAAAAACACAAACATGTTTTTCATTAGAACTTGTTTTTAGCAAAATAGAAAATAATATTTTATAAGCAGAGGACGGATTGTTAGGCAAATACTTAGGTATCTGTTAATTGTTTGTCCAATGTTTTAAAAATAATTTAGAATTCTGCATTTTTTGATTGTGTATGTTTACTGAAAATTTAATTTTTTTTTTTATAAGAAGTAAAGATTTTTTTCTTTTGAACCTTCTAAGTCGCAAAAGTAATTAAGACTACCACTAGAAACCATTACATTTTGTGTAGTTTTCTACATATTTTGTTAAAAATTTTGAGTCTCTGACAGATTAGACATTAAAGTAAAAAAAACTAACAAAAAAAAATATAAACGGCAATTTACTTTTTAGTAACCACTGCGTAACCATTACAACAATCCTTGATTTTGTCGGAAAATAGGTATTTAGTAAAGATTCCTGAAAAATCTGGAACTTTAAAATCGATTAAAGACGATTTAGGATAAAATTCTTTTTAGTAATCTGGAAGAATAAAGTTTTGCTACATACATATCCGCCTTCTAAACGATGTGGTTACGCTTCCTTTCTCTATCATTTTGTGTTGCCTATATAAAGCAAACGAATATTTCCACCTTCAGTGTTGATTCCGTCAAACGAAAACACTTAAACTGTGTAAAATCTAAACAAAATGGTGCAAAGTGACGAAAGTGTGACCATTACAGACACCACCAAGTTACTGGAAGATGTGGCATCTCTCTATCTCAACCAGAAATTTTCTGATATTACGTTGCTCGTCGATGACCAAAAACTATATGCTCACAAGGTTAGTCTACAATTACTTGGTATGAATTATCGAAAATGTATTACACACTTTAGGTCATTCTGGCTGTAAGGAGCAAATACTTTGAGTCTATACTTTACGAAGATGCGCAAAACACAAACCAGGTACAAGATTTGACAATTTCTTGCAAAATAATCCTTACACAAAATTTTAGACCGAAATAACAATAACCGGTTTGGCTTTTGACGCTTTAAGTAGTCTATTAAAATACATCTATACAGGTGGACCATCAGTTTTTACAATAGAACCAGATTCATGGATAAATTTTAGGCACCATCGATTTTTCTTCCGATGTTGAGTCAACCCTTCAGGTACTTGGACTTGCCCATCAAAATTCATTAACAGACATCCAAACTACCGTCGTTAAAAAACTAAAACCGCTTCTAAATTTGAAAAACGTTTACGCCGTCCTCAACACTGCCAATCTCTACGACTTAGAAGAACTGGCCGAAGCCTGTCATTCCTTCATGGACCTTAACGCATCTGAAGTCGTCACTAGTGACTCTTTCACCGACCTGTCCCAAGTAAAACCAGAGTAGTGTTAATGTTTACACACATCATACTTTTGTTACAGAAATCGATGATTAAACTTTTACAACGCAATGATTTTGTTGCTCCTGAAATCGAAATTTTCAAAAGCGTGGCTAAGTGGTGCAAAAAGAACAACGATGTCGATGATTTAGTGATACAGTGTGTTCGTTTATCGTCGATGACTGTCATAGACATCGTAACTACAGTCTGGTCTGCGAAACTATTCGACTGTGAAAAGTTGTTACAAGCCATTGCTGAGATCGTTGGCGTCAAAACAAAAACTTCCACTTCTAGAGGGTTCTATCGTAAGAAATTGTCTCCAAAGTCGGGATAAAAATACAGTGAGAGTTTTAAGTTTTGGACGAAAACCTAGCAACTGCTCAACACAACGCTGAAGTGATTGTTGGAACAAATACATCTTGGTTATTGACAGGCGATGGAAACACAGAAAGTAAGTTTGCAAACCACGGTGTAGACGAAGAAAGTGGGATTATTGTCAAGCTTGGTACTCCATCTTTTGTTAACCATTTCAAAATGAGACTCTGGGATGGGGATAACCGGTACGTACGAAAATATTATTTACCGTTTTAAGACAATTCGTTGTAGCTCTTATTCTTATTACATTTCGGTTTCTCTTGACCAGAAGAATTGGAAAAGAGTTATCGACCACAGTCTTATTAGTTGTCGTTCAGACCAGGTTCTGTTTTTTAATCAGCAGGTGGTTCAGTACATAAAAATTGTAGGGACGCACAACACAGCCAACCGAGTAAGAATATAAACAGTATCACGTCATTTATTTACTTTTAAATTAGGATTTTCGCATCATGTCCTTCGAAGCATATTACAAAAATGATATACCTACAATTAGAAATGGTATTATTTGCCCCAATTACAATGTTGCAACTATAGAGAAGAAAACGATTGTTATTGAAGGGTAAGCGAAAAAATACATGTAGAATTATAATAATAACAGTTACGATCATTTTCTAAGAGTAAATCCCCCCGCATTGCTTGATGGTAATTCCCTTGATTCATATACCTATCACAAAATAGGCAGTGGAAATATTACAATACAACTGGGTACTTCAGTGCAATTTTAAATTTTTGTTTGAAAAAATTACTAATCCGTAGCTCAACCTTACATGATTTCAACAATGAGACTTTTATTACATGATAATGATGGTTCCCGACAGTTTAGATATTTTGTTGAAACTTCTGTCAATAAGTCAGATTGGGAGATTGCTGTTGATCTAAGGAATGAAGATTGCACATCTTGGCAAAATCTTCGGTTTAAAGAAAGGGCGGTAGTTTTCATCAGGATAACCGGAACTTACGATTCTATGAGCGGCTTTTCCGTAAGTAATACTTATATAATTTAATATTATTAAAATTTTTGAATGTTTGAACTTAAGAACGATTTTCGCTTCGAAAATTTTAGTATTTTCTTGTGTCGTACTTCGAATGTCCCTCCGAGATGTGAAGGAAATACATGGAAGATCTGGCCATTGCTAACAAGGTGTCGACAAAACGGATTCTTTATATGACAAATAATAAAATTAATTTATCATAAAGGATGCTTTGATTAAACATACCAAAATAACCTCCCAAATCATCTACCACCATAAATATTAACTCTTACGTATTCCTCACTCCATATTAAACGGATCGAGTATCCGGTTTAAAAATTTGCTCATAGAACTTGAAAGGTTCGAGGAATCGAATACTTTAAACCGTAATGCGGATTTTTGAGCCATTTTGAAGTTATGTTTCATTAAATTTGAAAAAAAGGCTTTTTTTTAACTCAAAAGTGACACCTTCTTACATAATCCTTCATACATAAAAGAGTCCTCGATCTAAAAATTTGGTCATAGAACTAGACAGGTTCAAGAAGTCGAATGGTTCAAACCGCAATGCGGGTTCTAGAGACATGGCGGACGACGAGGACGGTAGTAATACCGATCCTCAAAAATATAATAATTGTAAGCTGTGTAAAAGTTATATAGGGATAAATACAGCTCGAATTAAGTGTAAAAAGTGCAGTGTTGTGCTCCATATTAAGTGTTTCGAAAATTTGGCCAAATTGGTGTGTATCAAAGAAGATGAGTGGTACTGTAAATCTTGTGAATCAGCACTCGACGATGTGCATAAATCTGCAGCCACATTAGAATATGAAAAACGTGCTCTCCAAGAACAAGTGTTATTGCTCCGGAAATTAGTTGATCAACTTGAAAGGGTGAACCATCTTCAAACTGAAAAAATAGAGAGCATCGAACTCAACTCATTTAATAAACAGCCTTCGTATGCAGATACCGCAAAAACTACAGCAAGTTGCAAAAATTCCGCCGATATTTTTATTAAGTACCAAGGTTCAACGAAAATAAAGCCTGATAAAGTATTGGAAACAATTTGTCATAAGGTAAATTCTAGTTAAATGTGATAGCGACTGTTCGCGTGACATACTAATGAATGAATTGAAAACGTCACTTAGCCAAGAATACGTCATCGAAAAATCCAAAAAATGGAACCCATGTCTGTTTGTCAAAGGAGGTGGCAAAGACATATTAGAAATGAACGATGATGAGTTAGTTAATAATATATTAGTCATGAATGGGTTAGATACATATGTTGATCATTTAAAACTTAAAAGATTCAAGTCGAAATATACTTATAACTTTGTAATAGAAGTTACTAATAATTTGCGCCAAAAAAAATTTAGAAATTTAGGTGGTAAAATATACGTGGGGTGGAGCTTATGCTCTTGTACCGATCATTTGCAGATTACACGCTGCTACAAATGTTTCAGATTTGGTCATATAGCAAGTAACTGTACTGAGAACAAATTAGTTTGCGCCAAGTATACTGGAGATCATAACTCTGAGTGTCAGCCACATCAGCAAAAATGTATCAATTGTCTTGAGTACCACGAACGAAACAAATCTTCCAATATAGACGTAAATCGTGTTTGCGGAGATGAAGCTAAATGGTTTGTGTACCAAAATAAAGTTAAATATTTACAAAATAAGATTGACTATGGTTCATAAAGTTCAAAAAAATTTTAAAATAGCACATGTTCGGTCACTTACAGCTAGTTTTTGTCGATTTTTGTGACTTGGTTAACGCAGATAACTTTGATTTCATTGGGATTAGCGAAACATGGCTTTCAAATAAGATTGCTTCTGCTGATATAGGTCTGAATGGTTACAACTTATTTCGTATGGACAGACCCGATGAGCGAAGAGGAGGTGGAGTCGGTTTTTGTGTAAGAAATAATATAAATTGTGATGCTGTTAAATTTGACGTTGATGATAATGATTGTATGGAACATATGTGGCTTAAATGTAAGGTTAATCATACAAGCATTCTTATATGAGTGATTTACAGACCGGAAGGTAATTTAATGAATACTATTAACTTAGTAGAAGATATTTTGTCCCAAGCAATACCAGAGTACGATATAGTTGCAATCGTAGGTGATCTTAACATTGATCTATTAAATATTACTAATGTGCTAACTGACTCTATGTCTAATTTTGACATGTTTCAAATTATCGATGAAGCTACTAGAGTGACTGCTACATCAGCGACTTTGGTTGACCATATTTTTTTGAACAAACCGGATTTAGTCTTGAACAAAGGTACGAAAAATGCAGACGCCATATCAGACCACAGACTGGTATTTGCTGAATTAAAAATTTGTTCGCCTATACAAAAACCAAAATATATTACATTACGAAATTTAAAGCAAATAAATAATGATCGCTTTCAGTTAGACTTGTCAAGTATACATTGGGATAATGTCTTCTACTTTCCTACTATAGATGAAAAGTTGGAATTTTTGACAACAAACATTTTACTATTATTCGACATCCATGCTCCTTTGCGTACCATAAGAATCACCAAACCTAAAGCTCCGTGGTTGACTGATGTGTTAAAGCTATTTTTTCGTGAAAGAGACCTAGTAACTATAAAAAACATAAAACCCCTGAGAATTTGAACAAATATAAAAATTTAAGAAACTTTGCGCTCAGAAGAGAGAAAAAGGCTTAGTTGGTTAATATGTGCGGTCAAAACAACAGTCGACAATTTTGGAAATCTTTAAATGCCTTACACATTGCTAGGACCAGGTATCTTGAAATTCCATCTCACTTAAATAATCCTGATACAATTAACAATTTTTTTGCATCTGTTTTTCAGAATGTGTCTCCTAATCCTAACATGACTGATTTTTATTCTTCTCAAAAATTCAAAGACAATTTAGTTTTCACTTTCCAGTTATCAACAATTGAAGAAGTTGCTTTAATTATTCGTTCTCTAAAATCTAATGCCTTAGGGTTGGATCAAATTTCGTTAGAAATGATACAGCTCTGTGATACTTCCTCACATTACTCATTTAATTAATTGCTGCATCGAAGCTGATTACTTTCCTACTGCTTGGAAAGCGGCTTTAATTAGATCTCTGCCAAAAGTATCATCACCTGAATCTTCCAGCGACTTACGTCCAATTGGCTTGTTGCCTACTCTTTCTAAGATTTTCGAACGCGTTCTTATGCAACAGTTAGGAAAATATAGTGAAGAAAATGAAATTATACCAAATCATCAGTTCGGTTTCAGACAGAATCACACTACTACCACTGCTTTGCTACATTTAACTGATATTTTAATCCGTAATCTAGACCAGAAGTTGTCGTCAATTCTTGTGACACTGGACTACTCCAAAGCTTTCGATTAAATAATTCACGAACTACTACTTGCGAAGCTTTCATATTATGGTTTGTGTAATTCGTCTGTAAGTTTAATTAAGTCATATCTATGTGATCGTGGACAAAAAGTGGTGATAGGTAGTAAGTTTTCGGACGTTGTGGCAGTAACCTCAGGTGTGCCTCAAGGAAGTGTCCTGGGGCCGCTTTTGTTCACTATCTTTATTGCGGATATAGCCAATGTTGTCAGGAATTGTGGTATTTTTTCTTATGCTGATGACATCTCTTTAGTTTTTAAATTTAAATCGGAGGAAACCAATACTAATGCATCGTTAATTTTTAAACCTTTGTCCACTAGAAGCAACCCAAGGCATAAGTTATTTTTGTTATCTAAACATTCTACATCCATGTTTTGCAGGAGTTATTCTTACAATGCCATCACCTTGTATATTAGCATTGACCAAACAGCAAAATGTTATAATTTGGCTTTGTTTAAAAAAATTATTTTTAGATATTTGTTATTTAAACAGAATAGTTGATTTTTTTTTATAATTACCTATAATTATACACATGTATATCATAATTTACATATGTTAATAACTTTTCTCAGAAATCTGTATTTTGTTGTATTGTTGGGTGATTAAGTGGTGGAATGGCCTGTGGCTAAACTTCGCCACCTTCGATAAATAAATAAAGACGTTATTATTATTATTATTATTATTATTATTTCGCTATGAAAATCTGTCTGCCAAAATAAGTTTTTCACAATGTTTACAAAAATTTTGCCACATGCTTGGCGTACATTTAGAAAGCGCCTCAAGCCATAAATTCTCCACCCTATTTTTGAAGGTTGAGAATTTACATGCTTGTTGTAATAGTTCTTACAAAATCTCCACGCCATTTCAATTGGAATATAGGTATTGACAATGGTACGGAGGCAATCTAAGAACTTCATGGCCACTTTCTCTTAATGTCTCGTCTACCAAATACTTTTTTTTCTATTATTTCTGAAGGGTTTAATTAAATCTCACAACTGTTACTTCGAAAATGTTTTGTCAAATTCAACACTATGTTTATTCCTGCATTTCACATTTTTTACTACAAAAAGTGGGTGGTTTTTCCAACTGAACCGAATGATACGGTGCATTGTCTAAAACCACCACACATTTTTGGTTCAACTTTGCCAAAGCAGGAATGAGCTGATTGACCACCCAATTTTGAAAAATTGTCCCGTCCATCGTTTTATGATAGTATCCATCGTTATTTTTTGAATTAAAAAAATTGTTACAACCATCCAAAAACCCCGTTGAACAACCCGCGTGGAGAATAGTAAACCTTAATCCTTCACTTGTAATTTTGGTGGGATTGCTTTTTAGATCAGTACCGTGCACCCAGCGACAAATATTTTTAATTTTATACAACAGGAGAATCTCGAAATTGACAAAAAGTTTGACGAGTTTATACGCATTGTACAACTACATGCAAGTCTTGCTTTTCCAGAGAGAATTATTGTTTCTAGTAGAACTTACGATAACTACAAAATCAAATGGTTCGACAAGGAGCTGCAAGAAATGCGCTCAAAACTTCAGTTATTAAGTGAATTTCATAATACACAAAAAACGAACGACTCTAGAAAAGCAAGAAATCATCTTAGAACGGCCTACCGTAATAAATTAATAGAAAAAAAAAACAAGTCTACAATGATAAATTTATAAAGTCAGCAAGCAATCAAACTGCTGCAATGTGGAAAACTATAAATAATAAACTTGCCAAATACAGTAACAAATGTAATCCACCTAATTGTAACATAACCTGCAACATATTTAACAATTACTTTGTAAA